CCCTGAGTTTCCATTTTCTGTGGCACACGGACTAAATTTATCCATGCGGCATTGGACTGAACACACCACGAAAGATATGGAACTTATGAAAGACTTGTCATCACACTATCCACTTGGATGGCTGATGCCACTACCCTCACGATAGCATAGTCTACCCTTTTAGATAGTAGGAGCTGGGGCTTGTGTATTTTATGCTGGCAGAACCAAGATTATCTGGGGTCAAATTATATGACTTCAGGTGTGAATAAAAAGAAAAAACTCCATTGTTGGAGAGCCTGTTTCACAAATATGTGATGTGGAAAATAATAATAATAATCTGTTTTAGTGCTTTTCTTGCTAGACCTGGGTGTTTATCTTTTACAGGGATCCAGAATTTTTCAGAAGTCTTTTCAGTGAACAATTTTAATCCATGATCTGAAGACAGCAATGTCAGTACTTTTTCATTTAGAGTAAAACTGAAAAGTCAAAAGAAACAAACAGATTGTTAGTGTTTAACAAAAAATAATATTTTTCAAAATTTTCTTCTGTTGTTAAATGTTTAATTATTGAAGAAATTAGTGTCTCATTTGTACTCTGTATAAAAGGAAACATTTTAATAAAAAATTGGGCATTTATTGTGAAAGATAGGTACATAATGTTTTATTCAAAATACTGTCCATTGCTAACCCTTATTTTTCCCTATCTTTCTGGCAGCATATGGATACTGTTTTGGAAGGAGGCTTTATCTTTTTGAGGCTATTTACAAATCAACCCAGTTTTTGGTATCTTCATATGATATTAAGCATTGCTCGGGTAGGCTATGCGTCATCAATCAAAACAAGTAGTAATCAGAAGGAGCAGTGTCTGGTGAATACAGCAGGAGGGACACTTCTCATTTGAGTAGGTTTTTGACCAGCACTGCAACATGTGGATAAACATTATTATGGAGGGGAATAATTTTGTCATGACTTTGTAGTACCGGGTGCATTTTTCTTTGAGTGCTTCGCTTAATCTCATTAATTGTATTTGGTAGAGAGCCCTAGTGATGGTTTTGTTCAGTTTAAGCAACTCGTAATACATGACACCAATTTGAACCCACCTTATATACAACATGATTTTTTCCATGAATATTCCACTTGGCTGTCAATGTTGAAGCATGGCCAGGTAGCCCCCATAATTTCTTTTTCTTAGGATTATTGTAATGGATCCATTTTTCATCACCAGTGACTATATGATAGAAAAGACCCTTTTAATTATGCCTAGCAGGCAGCGTTTCACATGTAAAAAATCAGCGTTTCTCAACTTTAGTTTATATAACCCAGTTGCCTAGCTTTTGAATCATTCCCAGTTATTTTAAATAAAGTGAAATTGCTTGTTGAGGTACTCCTAATGTAAGTGCAAGTTCTATTTGTGTTTGGCACGAATCTTCCAATCCCTGGTCTTCTTCACTTTCATCCTTTCGCTACGTTCTTTGTCTTCGACGTCAAATTCACCATTAAACTTTTGAAAGAACTCATGACAATTTTTCTCACTTAAGCAGCTTCACCATATACTTCTACAAGTAATCGATGCACCTCACCTGCAGATTTCTTCAAATTAAAGCAAATGATGCTCATTTAGCTCAAAGCACTACATTTTCGCACAAAAAAAAAGTGAATGATGTGGATACGAAATCGCTAATATTTCATGGTTATGTTGCTAGCAGATGTCCAACCTTACAATATGATGTTTTATATCGGACAATTTTAACCATAACTTACTGGTGAGGCTATTTTTTTTTTTTTTTTTTTTTTTTTTTTTGTCAAACAGTGGAGACTTATTTGTATTTCCAATACATAATACATAATTTATCAGTTAATGTAAGAATGTTTTCATTATTTCCTTGCATACTTAAACTGCCAGTATTAAAGTAAGCAAAAATATCAGCCAATCATGGCAAATTGTTGCACCAGTTATATTTTTTCAGATATTTTCCAAAAGTCTTGTGTTTTCCTGCTTTGAAAATTCCAGTAATGATGATGCACTGGGCTAATGAGGTGACTCCATAATGATTAGTAGCTGACTGGTTTACGTTTTGGTTAGGTTGCATATTACTCACTGCATATGGAACTAAAATACATTTAATATAATTCTATGAGAATGTTCTTATAGCAATATATAACAACACTGAAGGCAGAGAAATGATTTTATTGTTCTCATTATGTGAGGATCTTGCTACCAGCAAGAGTCTCTCTAGTTGAGAGTTAAGAGCAGTCCGAGTTCTTGCCTTGTCTAACAATCTGCAGACTGAATTAATCAGCCTTCTTAATTTTTTGGTTTTATTTTACATCTTCTGATTGGTTATAGTTGAAACGATAATTCAAGAGCAACAGGATGATTGGTCCATTGGCCTGCCTGAAATCAAAAGGATTTAGTGATAGGCACAATGCATATTACTAAAACCCTTTGACCCTGGCCATGAAGTTATGATTCTTCTAATGTCAAGTGAAGCCGTGAATGAATTAATTACTGCATTGGTAATGTCAGAGCCTGTCATCTCACATCTCATAACAGTTCGATTACTGTGACCTGTCGAGAATGCACACATAAATTTCTTATCTTTGCATGGTCTGCCGCAAGTTCATTTCTTAATAGCAACTCGGTTTAAAACCTATCCACATGATAGCCACCTCACTTCTGTATAAAAAAGTAAATGTTTGTAATCTGCTTCCATCGATGAACAAAGTTGTTTGAAAATTTGTCTTTTTGTTGCTGTTATTAATCATGGAAATTGTGTGATCCATTACTTTATGTTGTTTCATAGAGTCTTTATAACAAGTAATTCTTGGTGCAAGAAACGGATGAAAAATATTATATTTGAAGATTGACTATTTTGCTAAAATCACAAATCCTTTAACTGACCCTATGATAGATGCTGTTCCTTCAGTACAAATACTGACATATATATCCTTTGAGAATTTTAACGTATTCAAATATGATGTTATCGTGTCAAATAAGTCCTGGCTAGTTGCACTTCAAGAGTTCTTTGCAGCATAAAAATTATTATCTTCTGTTTATAAATAAGCCGTATAAAGCCTAAGAGATGGCTTTGCTATATATATCAGTTGATCTGTCTCCTTGCAATGCAAAAGGCACATAAACATATTCGTCTGCGAGTGCTCTTTCAAAGCTGCAAAACATGTCACTAATTTATCTGGGAAACGTGTCATCAGATGCTGGAATCTTTAAAATTTTCTTCTTTGCTTTGACCCCAAACAAAATTTTCACAACAAAAAGATAAAATGAGAGTTTCTGCTACAATGTTCTATACTAATACAATTTAGTTCTATACAAATTTTTTGTACAATCCTGGTTCAGTTTTGTCACTTATTTTTATTGTTTTCTCAAATTGTCTTATTTGTTTACCTTGTGTATTTGTTTTCCTTAACAAAAGCCTTTTGAAGTAATCTTCATTTTTTAATTAAAGATTTTAATGTGGAATTGAAAAATGATGCTTTAATTTAGTGGACAGACACCATAGCGCTATCGGCAAGTTTCTTTCCCCATCTATAATTTCTGGTACATGAAAATCCGAAGTATCCTTCATTGTACAAGGGATTGCCAATTTGGTTGATTTCCAATTTTTATCTGCAAATCTTTTAGTGCTAGCATTACTCTCATTGTTAAAATCAAGATGAAATTTCTTTACGATGAAATTATCCATAACGTGTAATAAAAATATTTATGAAGAATATAAAATTAATTTTTAATATGATGCAAGATTTATGTAAATTTATTAAATTAAAAAATTTGAATTGATACCATTACTAAAAAGCACTGAAATAAACCACATTTACTGTTTAGAATTTGTTTGTGGAGTGTACAAACAAATCAATGCATGACACTGTAAAACTGAAAATGAACTTGCTTACCAGTGGTGAGAAGGTTCTGTGTATTTGGTTAAGTGCATGGCACTGTAAGTTTAAAATCAGTCCTTTTCCATGACTTCCTTTCCTTAGCAAATTTTTTATTGAGCCCTTTTATTTTTGTTTTCATGTTTCCTTTTATTTTGATGATCAACCTACAGTCTCCCCTCCCAGATGACAATCAGTGTGACTTAATTTGCCTGTAGCTTAGTTTTTGTTGTGAAACTGATTAGTATGTTAAAAAATCTCTTCATTTGTTGTATGGTACAGATGGCGTTGTCTGTCATCGAAGTAGAAAAGAAAAAAAGGGGGAGTTTTCCCTTTCGACCTCGTGATGTGAACCGATTGAGGTGTTTTAAAACTTTAGGAGACAGTAAAATTTACCGGAAATTCTTATAATGTATATATTTTAGTATAATTGTATTATGTCGCAGTGTAGATATAATATAATAAGATGACTCAACTTCTTCGAGTTTTTATTTCCCATGCATCAGTATTGGTATCGATTCATCATCACACTACCCAGGCAAGTAAGTAAATTTTGTCTTTTGTTTTCTGGATTGCTCTTGGATGAGTGAAAGAAGTATTTTTATTTTAATGATGAGGCTATGTTTTAGTAATAACAGTTTTTCTGTATTACTCGGTCTCATATATGACATCATTTGCATAGTAGTTAGGTGTGTGTTAAGTTTTCGATACCACATATATCACTAAAAGTTTGTCATTGATGTTTGTTGATTGCAGTCTCATAAAAAAATTATTTTTAATTGTATTAATCTTTCTTCTGCAATAAATTTTAATTGTATTAATCTTTCTTCTGCAATAAATTTTAATTGTGTATTTGGCTTTTTCATGGAACACTTGAAGGGGCTTCAGAGAGCACCAGTGTTCTGTGGACCACTGGTGGAGACCCTTGACTGTGAATCATAAAAGTTGCAGCAATGCAGAGGTAGCGTAGATGCCTCTGGAAATGTTAGAAGCATTAAAACAACAAAACAAGGAATATCTTAAATTTATATCATTAAAAAATTTAATGTTTTGATGTACCACATAATAAAACTGAATTTTTTATTGTGCATGTTCTTTATCATTAAATTAAAATTTCTTAAATTGTAGCTATGTGGTCGTACCATACGAGTGGATCATGTTGCAAACTATAAACCTCCAAAAGAAAATGAGCATGATGATGAACTTACAAAAATGCTAAAATCAGAAGGCTGTGCTCCTAAACTTATCAAGCAAGAACCACCAGATAATCGCACAGAAGAAAAACACAAAAAGAAAAAGTCAAAGAAAGGTATACAAAAATATTCATTAGTATATTCATTGTTTGTGCTCTCTTTCTTTTGATTTTAAATAATACTTAATACTGCTAAAAATGTAATAAAATATGATCTACCTAAAATTATAAACATTTGGATTCTAACTAGCTGATTTGTGTACATTGGACATCATTGATGAGAATTACAAGGGTCATCCAGAAAATAAAAAGAAATTTAGTTATACAAAATTAAAAACAGTCCTTATTGGAAAAAATATTTCTTTACATTGCTGAAGCTTTCTTCACTTCTCTACATAGTCACCACCTTCATTTAAACATTTGCTGTATCTGCTTATGAGCTTCAGAATTCCCGTATTATACACTTCTGCAACCCAGATCTGGAAACTGCAGTGAGTAACAGAATCTTGCTAGACAAATTGCACATTATCTTTCTAGACATTTCTTGTTCTTTTCTTGGTGAAACCGTATCGCAACAATTTGGCTACAACAAAATTTTTGCATGATGGGTAACCAACACAAAACTTAGAGAATGGACTCGGGTTTGATATTTTTGACACAACGTCACACAGATGGAGACCTCTTTCTTGATAAGATCGTGACTGGTGAAAAGATCTGGGTGTCTCACATCACCCCAGAGAGCAAGTGCCAATTATTTGAGTGGCATCATCTCTCATCACCCCCAAAATTAAGAAAATTCAAACAGACTCTCTCAACACAAAAAGTGATGGCAGCCATCAAACATCAACATATCAAAATAAAAAAAACTTTAACAACTTAAAATACAAATTTCAGTTATTAAATAACAATTACATTATACATTAAAAAGAAAAACACATTTTTTTTTTTTTTTTTTTTGCAAAATTTTTCTCTAATATTTGTTTTTCTCCCCATGTATACAGTGATTTGTTTTTATTTCAAACAAGCACCAGAGAATCGTAAAAACTCCCCATCGTGCATCGATCATCTACCAAATGATCTCATTATTGTTCCTGGTTCTGATTTTGTGGCGAAATATTGTATTCCTGCAGATTCCACAAACATATATTTTAAGGTAAAATATGCCACGATCTTTTGTGAAAACCATTGGAACTTTGAATACAACAAAAAGAATACATAAAAATGGGAAATTGCTTGACTGAAGAGCTGTTATGAGCATGGATGCCTTAAGAATGGTTCTGAACATGGTTGCCCGAGTTTGGCATATTCAAAAAATTTTTTGACACTTCATCTAAAATGGTTTACTCTTGTTCAATATAATCTCCTCCCACATTCATTCCTTCCCCCTGCATCCTTGTTCATTCTACTGATAGTGTAGTTATCATCCACCTTGACTGGCAAATGCTACTGTTCATGTGGCATGGCATATTGCCAGTTCTAACATGTAATAAGCCATGTTATTTATCTTTCAGATTTAAATTATACATTTCTTAAACATAAAACCTATGTACCTACTTTAATAATTCAGTGTTGTTTTTTTAATACTATTTGTAATTGGTGTAATGTAAAATGCATCCAATCAGTGGATCTCAGACTGTGATATGCATATCCACAGTGGTACATGTCAAGAAGTCCCATAAAGAGATCCAAGAGAAATGAATATCTCTTTCCACCCATTCAACTTCATGGTAGCTATAATATTAAATCATCAAATATAATTGTAACAATATGCCTTCTTCCCCAGAAAAATATTTAATTATGTACACAATTACACGTTTGAATGCATGCTTACCAGGGGTCATCTGGGTCACAGCTGAGTGAATGTTCACCAATAGTTTAAGCAGCTGAAGCCACAAATTTGCTTAGTTGAATATCTCTCTAGTTCTCCCAGTTAATTAGTCCTATGTCTAAATGGGCTTTTATATGGAGGGTAGATTATTATATTATATATATATATATATATACACCACCATATGAATGTGTGTGGTAACTTTATTTAGAAAATCATAGTATGCTTTTCATTAATCAAATCCTAACTCTTCAGTTATTTTAATAAGTATATAAACCCTTAGTTTCATTAACAAAACTTTTTCTAATATCATGTGCTATTCATTCAGAAATAAAACAATCATTTATGCTTTCTCCAACCCAAGTTTGCTATATTTTGCTTTACTATCACTCTTAGGCCAAGTTGATAAAAAAAAAAAAAAAAAAAAACACTGGTAACTTGGCTGGGTTTCAAATTCTGCTGAACAAGCTGACTGTATGGGCTTTCTTATGCTTCTCATCTGTAATATGAATAAAAGCCAGTTTCCTTTTGAAAATGAAGATATCTGTTCTCTTAGGAAAATAGCATTAACATTTTCCATGTACAGCTAAACAAAGCAAAATTTGTATATATGTGAAAAGGGGGAGGACCAGCAAATCTAGCTACCGTGTTTCCTGGTAAGTCCTGGTCTTATATTGATCTTTGGAAAAGACACCCTAAAAGGGGGTGTCTTATTTTTCATGCACAATATTTAACATTTGTTCATGTCCAAAAAACATATTTCTTCAGGTTCAAGAAGTACATTTATGCATGTCCAAAACACATTAAAAAATTAACAATATCATTTATTCTGATACAGTCATTTAGTCTTTTCCGGAATATCATCACAAAGGTCCAAATCATGATTTCTGGCCTACATTTTTTGCAACTTCATTCGCTCTAAAACCATTGGTCCTAGCCTCTCATGTTGAACAATAGAGCTTAATGTGGTCACTGGATTTCCATGTGTAAATGGTTTATTGCAGTACCAAGAGTTTGGAGATATGCAGTCATTCCTGCAGGAATTATTATTGAATTAATTCTTCTTTCTGCAAGGAAGTTCTTCATGGTTTTAGCACAGTGATTGCTGGCGTAATCCTACACTAGCATACCTCTTTGCCTACCTTGCAAAACAAGTGGCAGAAATAAATTAGCCCACTTTCTTATTGCTGCTTGCATGCACCAAACATTTTCAGTCTCAAGAACATAAATACTTGAGATATTTTTAATATCCTCGTTTTTTCCCCCTTAGAGATAATTACAGGGGGATTTCTTAAGACAAATTGCCAAAATGCATGCAATGCGTGTACTCTTATAACCAGTGGAGGAAATGTGTATCACAGAGGTACTGCTCTGATCAACAGTAGTTCGAGAATCTTGGCCCATAAGCAATGCAGTTTCATCCATAGCAACCATGTTTGAAAGTTGGTACTTGGAGAAGTTGATGCCATCAATAAAGCACTTAAATGCAAGTGCACATTTAATCACTTCAGCATCTTCCAATTTGAACAGTGTTTTCGATTTTAGAGACAGTTCATACTGCTGAAGAAAACCACCCATTCAGTGTTGTGATGCTTTGAATTCGTCTGGCGATATGTCTGTGTGCAAGGGCAAATGCTTGAATATCAGCCCTGTGAACAACCAAACACTTTGCTCTTCTGTTAGAAATCCATTCATAATAGATAATGTGTTCCAATCCAGGAAATGATGGTTGACAACCTGATCCATACTTTTTGGCATTTCCCTTGTACACCTGTTGACTGTTCTATTCCGATTCCCATTCCCACCATTTGTAGATCCAACTTCACCTTGCAGAAAGTTAAGATTTGTATTCCCCGAGTCATCCATAGTTCCTTTCTTGTACTCGAATTGATCTTTCTTTTTGCACTCATTTTACCCGAGCATCAAAATTTATTAGTAAATCAAGTGCTAAACGTCTGTTGCTAATGTAACGTATTCAACACTGAATGTTCTAATTTGTCGCAATCACATCCATTTGCTTCAGATTTGCATGCGTGTTGTGTCTGCACTTGGTCATTTGGCAATAAGATGCTCATCTGGCTGACGATCTTAACAGGGGCTTGTATTAGGAATACCCTGGAAAATCATGCTAGGGGTTATTTTTTATTAGGTTGTATTTTCAGCAAAACATGGTACACAATTGAGGAAAGCTGTGAATCGGTAGTATTTTAACTTGTAGCAATTTTTTCAAAACATTTTGTAAATTTTTATTATTTTTTCTTTATTGTAGAGAAAAAACACAAAAAGAAAAAGAAGCAAAGTGAAACTGATTCCCCAATCCATATAAAAGTAGAAATGCAAGATCCATCTTATGATAGCTCAAATGTAAGAACTGAATGTACTGAGCAAAATCGAAGAAGTGCCAAAGAAATGTATGCTAAGGATCTTAAAAGACTTGAAAAATTACAGCAGGAGAGTGAGAGTGATGCAGATGATATGTCTAAATCCAGAAATAAAAATAAATGCAGGGAAGTTAGTTCTAGTAGATATGAAAATTATGAATTTCCCTCTAGCACTAAAAGTGATAATCATAGGAACAGTTCTCCACAGAGGAAAAAATCTGATAAATCTCACAATAAGCACCATACTTTGAAAAACTCAAAATCTTCTAAAGGACTGACAGGAAAGAATGCTTTTATATTATCTTCAGAAGAAAAATATGAGACACATAAGAATATCCAGAAGAAAAAAGGTAAAAGAGACTATCACAATGAGCCATCAAGCTCTTCCACAGATTCTGACTCTGGAAGTCGAGATAAGTATTCACATAAAAAAGATGCAAAGAAACATAAAAGACATGATACTTCTTCCAGTTCAGAATCTTCTCAAGAGAGACAGTTTCATTTTAAAAATTTGAGAGATAATCAACTTCGTGAAAAGAAAAGATATAAATCTCATGAAAATGAAAAATACAGTGCCGACTCTCATAGGAGGTATGATTATAATAAGCACTATGATAAAGAAGAAAAGTCTCACACTAACAAGCACCGGCAATATTCAACAACTAGTGAGGTGAATAAAAATGGTGCACTTAGTTGCCATGATAAATACAAAAGTGTAAATAAAAGGACAAGCAGAAATGATGATTATGACCAGTATAACCATTCTGTAAACAGAAAAAAACATTGTCGTAATCAAAATACAGAGAGATAAATATAATACGTCATGAGGTTAAAAAAGTGAAATTTCTCATACGGTATACATTCATGGACAGAAATAAGCATATAATCGTAAATAATGAGATAAGTGTGCTATATCATTGTATTTATGAGTAGCTTATCCAATATTTGCTCATTCAAATGTAAAAATTACCAGTTTTTATAATTTAATTAATAAACTGTAAGATAATGTTTTGTTATAAATATTCTTTTTCTCCAATATTTTATGATTTGTTACCGACATTCATTATTAATAACTATGATAATTAAAGAATATTTGGGTATTTTTTTAATATTTAAAAAGGCAGGATTTCTTATATCTAGTGCACTGCCCTCTTTTTCACACTTTCTGTTGTCAATAATAATCTTTACTTGTAACTGCACTCATCCAGGGCTCAAGCACATTTCTGCACACGGAAATTAAGGACTTTTAAGGACCATTATGAAAAAAATTTAGACTTATAGCAATGGGACCTTTTGTATACCACCTAAAAATAAAAAATCCCCAGACGGATGCATGAATTATAAACATGACTAATTACATATTATTAATATTTTGAGAATAAAATAAACTTTATCAGTAGGATTAATATTTACACTAAATAGTTGGACATATTGACGAAGATAAGTGATGTTTTATTTACTGATAGTTTTACGTTGATTTTTTTTTTTTTTTTTTTTTTTTTTTTTTTGTCTCATTTTGCCACATACTTGTTCAGTCTAGAGGTTTAGTAAATTGCAGGTAGATCCTATGTCAAGTGGCATAGGTTAAAATGAGAAAAATCATAATCAGCATGATTCATAACAAAAGACTGGCTGTTGTCACTGCTGCTGATTGCCTAGAGAGACCTGCTAATCAGAACATACTTAAAGGGCCTGATGTAGGCATGGTTGGCGCATTTTGAAAGTTGGGCTCTGTCTGATGCAGTTAGTGCCATAGCTTTGTGTAGAGTTCCAGGGGTTATAACCCATTTAATATACTTCAAGGCTCTAATAAGACACTAAAGCACCAGAGGTGATAAATTTTTTGTATTTTAGGTCTCACTGGATGCAAAGAATAAGTATTAAATGAATTTTTACATTTTTGTGTTTTATCTTGTGACCATGGTAAGATACTAAAGGCAAACCTACTTTAATCGCAAGATCATTTTTAAGGTAGAAGTCCAGAAATCGCAAGCTGAGACCAAGATTTGCGGATCAGGACAGAAAGATAAAGCTAATATTCAACTAAAGTGCAAAATAATAAGCTATTAGTATACCTTTAATAAACTATTATATACATTATTGCAATACTTATTATATGCGTTAATTATAATATTATCATTGTTTATATTACCAGCATCGGGTTTGTCGATTTTGCCTGATGAAGATTCCGTTTTAGAACCATCTATTAAAATTCACATTTAAAATAATGTATTTTTATTATGTTTATTCTAACGATTAGGATAATTACACATTAAAAGCTACGAAACATCCATGTTTTTTAGCAAACCCTCAACAAAATCTTATGCATCTTTTTTAATTGAAGCATTCCCAGACATTTTGGCTAATTTATATTGATTCCTTTCTTAAGATCTTTTCACATTAGAATTTTCTCAATCCACAAACCATCTTCTCACTTGGTTTGTGTAAATTTCAAACACTTTTTCTTTTTTTTCAGTATATCTACAATTGTATCACATTCCATCGATTCTGCTATAAAATGCACCGTCTCCATATTTGCCGAATTTGCACTTTTGCATACCGTCAGTGCAACGTGTTTGTTTTTCAACTTGCAAGCAGTAAATCTGATGCTTTCTTATCTGTCTTGTATTAAAAGGGCTGAAATAAAAATATCTTATTACCCACAAGCTATCCAATAAAAAAAAAAAAAAGGCGACCTAAATAATCTCGGAATACAAAGCTAGAATACAACGTGATCGCAACTTGATACCTCGATGCGATAGAAGGGAAAAAACTTTTATCATGATGTTAATATTTCGTATTTCTGTTGACTATTTGGTAATTACGACGCATATCGGTAAGTATTTTTCTTTGATATTTCGTATTCAATGTTGCGGTTCGGAACCTATAACTGAGTTTATTTTTAGAGGCAGCTTATTTCGTTCGGCTATTTCGTATTTGACTGTATAAATAATTAAATTAGCTACTTCGATCCTAAGTCTCATGATTTACATGGCACTATTAATTTAATTTTTTTAATATTTGTTAAAAAGCCCTATTAAATCACAATCTATTAAAATTTCACATTTAAAATATATGTAATTATGATTTGATTCTTAAACGTATTAGATAATTACACCTTAAAACACTAACCTCATGTTTTTTAGCAAGAACACTCAGCAAATACTATGCACTTTTTATTTGAAGCCTTCCCAGACAGTTTGGCTAATTTATATTGATTTCCTTATCTTTAAGCATCTTTTCTAACAATTAGAAATTTGTCTCAATCCACAAACCAATATTCTCACTTGTTTCTGCATTCTTTATCTCCTAACTTGTCAACCTCTCAAAATGTACCTATGAGTGTTTACTTGACCAGGTAAAAGTTAAATAGTTCTCCCCTCCCCCTCGATAGACATGAAGCAAATTATCGCTATGTCTGATAGTAACTACAAAGTCAGACAAAGGTTTAAAGCCTCCTATTTAAAAAGAACTTGCAACGTAAGGGCATATTCTTATGCTAACAAAATTAATTGCAGCTCGTGGTGATGTAAACAAGAACAGTCAAATTCAAACTAAATATGTGGACTAAATATAGTCAAAAACTATACAATTTAATTTTAATTTAAGGTGGCTCAGTAAGTTTATCGTCATATGAAATTCAAATTACGGGAGCGATAATGAAAACACGAATAATTACAAATTATCAGAGCTGCCAGAAACTAATGCAGTGAGAGTAAAAGTGAGAAACACTTTCTTACACTCCAAAAACTTCAGTTTAAAAACTGTCAGTGATTTGCATTTTGGTGAGGAAATAGAAATGGGAAATTATAGTAAAGGCTGAAGTTATAAACTACTGGGTAATTAACATAATGGTAACTGTACATATATTTGAAGAATAATTTTCTCTTTACGTATTCGGTTTCTTTCTTCAACACGCTTACTTTTCATATTAGAATTTTTGGATTCAATTCAAGATTTCTGCTATTCTAAAAAAACTAAATGCATTTAGAATGTATAGAAAAAGCTGCTAATTTTATTTCATTAGTAGTATGTTCAGAAGAAATATTAAATATATATGGTAAGGGCCAGTTAGAGCACTGGTGTGGCAGAATGTAGTGACACACCAAGCAATGAAATCTAAACATGGCAAAACTTTTAGAATTTAGAGCTGGTATTAGAAGCAGAGTTTAGGATCAACAGAGATTGCATCAGGTTGCAAAATGCCTGACACCAGATCAATACAACGAATACATTTTCCATTTTGTTATATTTTTCTGGAATCTTCTAGAATCGTGGGTCTGTAAATCTTGCCTTCAAATCCTTCTAAACTTTCCAAGCTACAATGTCTAAAATGCTGAAGAAACATTACCTGTACTAATTCTGTAACAGCAAAAAGCCAGAAATGTTTTGAAAAAAAAAAAAAAAAATCAGAGGGAAAATGTGTAAAATTTATGTTATAGAGTAAACTAATTCATATTCTGAGACAATTACATTGGAAAAACTCTTACCATGAAAAAATTAAAAAAGAAGACATTATTAGTTAATTACATGGCTAGTTTGCTTTTGCTAAGAACTGTTTCGGCTTTATAGCATTATACCTTGTTTATTTTTCAAATTCAAAATATTGTATAATAAGTAGCCAAAATGGATCTTTATAACATTACGCCGAAAAATAAAAATGTTATAATTTAATGTTTAATGTTATTTTTTTAATTAAAATTTACCAGTGTTACAATATTGGGTGGGGGGGAATCATTGAAAAATTCCCAGATCTCAGAATGAAAAATTTTCTATAGAAACTGATCTTAAAATCGCCAAATTTAGAACCATTTAATAAAAGAATTCACATCCCCAAAAGCGAAAAGTTTTTTTAAGAGCTCTTCATTAGAAAAGTGAAATAATTTTGAAATGATATTTCACTTCTTGCTCAGAAACACTAGTATCACACCATCTATAATAGAAATAGGAACAAATTATAACCCATGAACCCATTCAAAAGATAACCATCTTTGTCTGTGAATCGCCAAAATTATTCCTCCAAAATGCTAATTTACAATCAAAATGGCAGTACTAAAAACAGAAATTTCAGATGATTAAAATTAAGAACCTTCTGCCGATTTTGGCCGAAATTAAGGACTTTTAACAACCAAAAATCAATTCAAAAAAAAAAAAAAAAAAAAAAAACCTAAGGACCCTACGAACCCTGTCGTCTGTAACGGCATGTAGTTAGTTAGTTCACAAAGGCAAATGCAAGGAGTAAGAGCTAATGTACATTAGAGCAGTCTCTATTCGGGAAATGACTCTTTACAAGAAATAAATTATTTAATTCTCTAGGGACTGTGAGCTTCATAGTTCATTACTTGCATTTGGAGTCCATTTTGTAAATAATCAACATGAATTTTGTTAGTCATGTTTCATATATTTATACAGATATTTCTAAGAAATCAGAATAAAAATGTACTTAAATAGGCAAATAATCGTGGATTTTAGCTATGTGTTTAAAGAAACTCACATGATCAGCATAAAGAATGGTTTATGAAAGATTTTTAACCCATAACAGGGAAGGTCAAATATTGGGACATGTGGTCACACAGACCGCGTCTCGTTATGATTTAAATAAGAAGTTTTATTCCAAATATTAAAATTTTATTTTACCCATACATTCTATAAACACTTATCTTCAAACAGAAAAAAAATATATATATTTTACAAAGAAATCAATCAACACAAGGAACGTCTTTTCTACAACATGAACTTTTTTTATGAAAACCCACTCGCAAATGTAAATTATGCAAAACAAAACCCAGAATAACTATTATTTTTTATGAATAATAATTATTTTTTTACCATATAAGTATTCAGATAAATATATAAATATTGTACGATACTTTAAAAAAAATGACAGCACCTTAACTATCAGTAATATCATTGTGTTCTTGCAAAAAATATCAATTTACTCAACATATTCTTGTGCACATTCGTGACATAATTTTTGTGTACATACCAAACACACTGGTGTTTTACAACTTACGCATAAATACGAAGGTTTCAGTTCTTTTTTTTCCTCTAATATTTCGTTTGTGAAAAGGAGTTCCCAAATGTTTATAGGATCCGTATTTTCACCCAATTTTCTGTGTGCTCTTAATCCTGGAAGATGAACTATATTATATGCAAGAGTTATCAAATTTCATTGAGGTTCGATAGATGACCACTAGAAGCAGTTTCTCCCATAATAATATTTTGTAGATGAAATGGCTTCAGTCTCTGGTTCAGTGATTCATTGTTAAATTCAGAAAGTTATGATATCGTGGAATGCGAACTTCATTTGCAAATCTTTGCGCTAAATTCACTTCCTACTTCATCAAGAATCTTTGCAGCTCTCTGCATAACACAATCAGAGGATATGATATTCTCGACCAAGTTCAGAGCCATGTTTCCACCTGGGACAGGAATTCTAACACTGAGAGGAATATGCGGTCTGACATGCCGCTTTCAGACAAAGGACTAGAATTTCACAATGAAGTAGGTGCAAAAAATGTTAACTAAAGGGTGAAAATTATCAAGGTCACAAAAGGGGAAGCTAGCAGGAGAATCCACTCAATCAGACTAAATATAGAGTAGGGGTGATAGGAACAACACCTGTAGCAGTATCTGAGACCCCACCTCCCCAGTTACGGGTTAAGTAGCTGTTCCAACTTTGTTTCATGCTTGGAAAGTAAATATTGCTGTTAAATCATGTATAACATTTTAAGTGCCTACCAATGGACAATTCAATTAGACCATTAAATGCTGATAGTTCACCTCACTTTGTTTCCCAATGAACAGAAACTGATTTTTACCATGTGTAATGTTGATAAAAGCCATTTTCCTTTAAAAAATTGTGCATGCCCTTTCTGAGGATGATATAATTTAGTTATAAGGTGACAGGCTTGAATTTTGAAAGAAAATATTTTGATGGAGAATATTTGATAACTTATTCAATTTTATATTGTACTTAGAATTTTTGGTTAACAACTGAGGCAAAGCACACAAGGGCTAACCTGTAGTATTTTCAATATAAGTCATGCTTTGAGTATAAAACTGAATCAAGGAAAAAATGGATCAAGATTTTCCCCATCTCCAGAATAACCATGTTTTTTCAAATCTTTAGTATTAATGATTTAATTATATTTTGTGAACAAATGCTACCAGACAATATATTTCAATGATAATTAACACATGTGCATAACAAAAAATCAGCTGACTGTCAGTCGTCTGTGATGATTAGAAAATATAATAGCAGTTAATTATGTTCAGCCAGTTGATAAAGGAAACTCAGAAATTCTTCTTGAAAATATTGGCAAAGTATTAGGCAAAATCTTTTAAGAGTATTTTTTCTTTGGTTATTCTGTGTAGTATTTATGCATTATTGAAATAAGAATTGCTACATTAATTACTTAACTATATTATCCATCAAAATAGTTTTTCCTTGTCACCAGAATTGTCTTGCCCTGAATCAGCTTCACAAAGTTTCTCACTTTGATTACATAAATGCTTGATAAAATTAAATGAAAATTTCTTTAAAAAATGTACTGCTTTTAACTGTTAATTATGTTGCAGCTAATCTCAATTGCCTGTTCTAATCAAAACAAGCCCACGAATTTTTAACTTGGCAAGGAATGCAAGATTACATCTGTAATTGGCATGAGCCTTCAGGACCAAACAAGTAAAGTATGGTTTTGCCCAGTTTTGAAAGAGAGCACACAGGGGGATGGGTCTGACCTCTCATCAAACCATTTGAGAGGACTTACAGTTCACTAAATATTTTGAGTGCCCCTGTACTGCACAGATAACCATATATTTGCAAATATTCTTGCTTTCTAGAATGTTCGAACCCGGGCCCATCGATACTGTAGTCAGCATCAATACCATTTAAGTGTCTTAACTGTCAGTAAATCAAACTATCAATAACAAATATGCCATGAAATGAAATCATCTTAAACAGAGATTATTAAATTATTTTTTATAATAATGTTTGTAAAATCACATGGAAATTAATTATTTAAAGGTGCTTATAAAATAAAAGTACTTACTAAATACTAAAAAGCTATAAAGTGAGCCAATGTAAATTTTCTAATGTTATCTGGTTTACTATGCAGAATTTAAAGACCATTCAAATTTGGGGGGGGGGCAACACCTTTGCCAATGGAGAATGTAAAGATAGTAAATTTTCACAAAGGTTTCAATATACCCTACACTGATGAATAAAATACGGGCAGAAATGAATACAGAATTAAAAACAGAGTTTTTAAGACTGCTAGAAAGATTGAGTATCGATTAATAATGGCAGAAGTTAGTGCTTAGTAAGAAATATGATATTCTATAACAATGATTGCTTAGCATGACAGCACTGCTTCGCATTTATGTTTAGCATGGGGTGCTGTAAAAATTCTGGATTCACTTCATGTATTGAGTTTTCAGTATCCCTATAAACAATGGAAATATATTTATAGTGGTCAGAGGGAATCAAGAATGTGCATGATATGCTGTTAACAAAATATGGTCCATTTATGGTCAAGGATTCTAAAGATACCAATGCTTCCAGATAGTCTCTTATATAGGCATACTGTAAGGAAGCAGGTATAGTAAAGGTCAAGGTAACGTATCAGTCGAAAGGACACCCTATCTACACCACACAGACCAAAAGGGATTCAGACTAGGGTTTTTACAGATAATCCTACAAAAATGCGATTTTGAGGTCTTCGGTAAGCTAGTGGCAAACCATAAATTTCTTCCTTAGTAATTTAGTATATAATGGCTCAAAATTCATGCAACTTCCTGCAAGAAATGTATGAATGAATGTGTTGCTAATCATAAATAAATAAAATATAAATAAATGACACACATACATGAATAAATGCTTGTAAATTAAGGCTTTGCATACATCTTTTCCTTCATTATTTCATATTTTCTTACCGAAATCAATCATATGCAGACTCAGAATATAGCAATTCATGATGGGATAATATTCTATTATCCCATTATGAATTATGAATTCTATTATCCCATTATGATCTAATATTGATCCACTTTTATTTCTGTAAAACTTAAAAGAATCTTCTGCAGCATAAAAATTCAAAAAATAATTAATTCAAAAAATTAAAGTTAACATCTAAAAATTTCCATGAAATTAAGCAATTACCTGAATTTTTATACATATAATGTACATTGTAAAAGAAGTCATGTCATTTGATTAATTTGGATTTTTTTTCGTATTTATAAATTTCGCAACAGAATGAACTTTTAACAGATGGTTGACAATACCAACACACTAAAAATAAGACAAAGATGAAAAGAAATACCAATTCCATTTAAAAAATATTTATGAAATGTAAATTGCACATTAAATAAAATACAATTAATATTCAGTCCTTAGGAAATTTGACTTCGAGCTATTTGTTCTTTCAGAACCAATATACTCTGACGCTGTTCGGGAGGCAACATTGCAATCTGCTGATCTGACAACTGCAAAACTTGCATTATTAAAGCAGCCTGAATATGGAAGAAAATGAAAATACAAATTATTAGAAATTACCATGAACATCCTATGCAAAGGTGTATAAGTTTGTAGTTTAATAATATCAAGTTCAAATAACATTCATTTTGAAATAAAATTTATAATTAACATTTCAACTTATAATTAACATTTAATTAATTTCACAATCGTTGACTTTAATTTTTAATACTGTTAATATATGCTATTTTTTGCCATTATACAATTTGCTTTGCATATTTCCATAATCAGTACAACAGTACCTGATGCCTAGGCTAAGAAAATTTTGAATGCTTCTGCACACTATTGATCTATGAGTATATATATATGTAAGATTAAAAAATATATATGTAAATCAGTTTTATTATTCAATTTAGCACTAAGATTTTAATTTGGGTATTTCCTCTCTGTATTCTCAAAGTAGTAATAACTTTTCTGACTGCGTCATTTCTATATCAATCTATGCCACAGAGCTTGGGTAAAGCTGATGACGTAGCTTATTTGAAACTTAAAATTTTGATAACTGAAACTTTTCTAACCTAAACCAAAACCTTCTGCTTGGTAAGTTCCCATATTGGATAAATGTGCACTTTTAGCTTGAATGGTATTTTCCTAGCTCCTTCCTCTCGCAGCAGTAATAAAAAATGCAGATATTCTTGAACAGGCATAATTAAGTAAACTGTGGCCCACAAATGTGAATTTAAATAAAAATGGAATTTAATCTGCCTCGACTGCAAAGTTTCCTAATCATTATGGATTAGAATTCTAGGCAATCAAAATCCTTCCTCTTCAAATATGGATCTACTACGTTCTAAGCTAAAATCAAGTATATATGCCATTGCTATTATCTTTTTCTCCTCAGTCTATAATCCAGAGAACCACTGTCAGTCTGTTGCAGCTTACTCCAAGTCATCTTATTACATTTACATACTCATAGAACACTCTCAAGGCTACTATTTTCCTAAGATAACCAGTTATTCCAAGAATATAAATTAATATCTGTGTTCAACATAAACCATAAAGTCTGTAAGAGTTATGAGTTACATCATATCACCCTAAAACCAACATAAAACTGTTCATCAAGGTGGAGGAGGAATGACACAGCAGAAATCTTCCTGAAAGTTTGCGAAAGAGGTAAATTTTAAAATTATGTTGAGCTGATAGAGGTCTGATCATCATTGGTAATACAGTGCATACAGACAGCAAGTGGCAGTGAAGCATATTAAGAAGATAAATCATTGGATTTAAGAACTGGGAGGCTATCTATAAATAAAACTGAATTCACATATATGCAAGTCTGCATATTAAGAAAACACAAAAGAAGCCAAAATTTGGGTGCAGAAAAAGCTGTGATATATGGCTGGCTACAATGCCATTGAAAACATAGCTTTACCACTTTTGATATTGAGTTGACAAGCACAAAAAATATACTCATTCAGCATGAAAAGTTATACTGTTTTTACATCTAATGTAAATGATACATATTCAAAGTCATGGTTTCCAGATTTTGTGAAAGTTGTATGTTTTGCTAAATTTTCTTCACTTAAATAATAATAATGATAATTCATATTAGCTAATAAATGACAATTGAAATTCATTTTTCTAATTAATTACCTTCTCTTGATCTTGCGGAGCTAATGCAGAAGATGCAGGTGCAGGGGCAGCAACAGAGTGGTGTACAGGTTGGGTGGTGCTAGAAGATGACACACCAACAGTTGAAGCAGGTGAAGCACTGACTATGCCTGCCCTAGAATTCTGTAAAAGAATAACAGAATAAAATTACTCAGCTGTACATTTTATTACTAGGCTTCCAATGAATTACTTAAAATTTTTGCTAATCACCTCTAATTACATATAAATATAATCTCGTTCCAGAAGATATTTCTTTAATTTAGTAAAAAAATGGTTCAAAAGATGGAGTCAATGTCAGGGTTACAGGTTATGGCGCTTCTTAAATCTATATTTACCCCATCTTTCAAAGCAACAGTTATGCAAATGCATCAACATTATATCTTTTTTTTTTTTTTTTAAGGGAGATTAGTTCAGGAAACTTAACTGCATTTTTCTGCCATTGGTGGCAGAAGTGCATAACAAGTGCCACAGATTTGGCTTCTGAAATGAAATAATAAATACTTCTACACCAGAAGTGCTTATGTGAAAATAAAAGGTTTTAATCATGTAACTTCTTTGTTTCTTTCATTATTATTATTACTATTGCTATGACACCTATCATCATTTAATGAGTGCTGCTTTATAGATGCATAATACTTTTTCCTGTTCTACAAATTTATCACATCTTGAAGAATGCAGTTTTAGAAAATATGCATGGCATATATTTACAGCTTTAATATTTTTGCATATATATTTTTTTAATGGCCCTATCAACTTTGCAACATATAATTAAAATAAAAACAAAGTGGTCATAGCTCATATTGAAAATACTTTACTCTTCTTTCTGTTTAATAGATAAATGAAAATTAGTAGAAGATACCTTACACTAAGTGCATTATTTTAATGCATTAAATCATGATTTAATTAGTATGCTTCTATTTCTTTAAACAATGAGATGTGTATTAAAATCTACATAATCATTTGCACTTCTGAAGTGATCCAACTTGAAGATGATGTTTGATGTTTTGGGGATCTCAGAAGGGTATGAAGCATGTTATGATAATAAAAAAATGTTTCAAGTAAACAATGCAGACAAAATTAAAAATTATTTTTTATATTAAGTGTAACATATTTTAAAAAATAGCTGCTCATCATACTACTTAATATTATATTTCTATTAAAATCTGATTTCTGCAAATAACACATCATAGTCTAAAATGTCATGAAATAACTTTTTAACATTGTTTTTAATTAACTTCTTGAATAAATTAATACCAAAAACACTTAATTTGCTATTAATATTTCAGTTTTCTTTTAGAAATGACAGACACTACTCTGTTATCAGGACCGAATTCAGAAATGTATATATATATGCATGTATGTATGGATCGATGTGTTCATGTATGCATGTGTATATGTATGTGTGTGTGTGTGTGTACACTTATGCATATATGCACACACATGCAAATACTCTTGCATACATACATTCCTTAATCTGGTCCCGATACGAGAAGAACACCACATGGGATAAGCTCTAAAACATTGTCTTGCTTTTCTATTTTTTAATATTTATTCTTAAAATTTTAAAAAAGTATTCATTTTAAATAGCATTCATAAAGACATCTGAAGTTATGCAATTAAATCGTTAGTTTAACGAGTCATTTTCTAGTTAACACAATAGTTTATAACTGTTCCTGTAAAATCAAAAGAATGCATTTTAAAATTATTTTCTGTACTTAGTAAATAAACTGATGCTGACATCATGAAGTTATTTAGTACCTGCATATTTGCAGAATACCCTTAGTAGAAATATGCCAAATTATCGCAATCATGAGCAAAATAATTCTTCATTTGTAATGAGTAACACTGTAATTTTTACTTCCTTGTACTAGGTAAAGGAAGTATTCTAATTAAAAAAAATTCAGGTATCATATTTCAACAAAGATATCCATTTTGACTGCTATCGAATGCAATTTAACAATGTTTTTGCATAGCATCTCTACATGAAAACAGAATAAAGAACTCTTTTTCCCTAAACAAAAAAGTATAAAACTCACTTAAAATGGATTGAGAAGATATTTTTTCATGGTGTCTGTATGTACGTATGTATCTTGCATAACTCGAAAACAAGTAGCCTCAGAACACTGAAATTTTGTATATAGGACTGCTATAACATGTACTTGTGCACCTCCTATTTTGGTTGCCCACACCAAAAGTGCATATATATATACTCACTCTGCTACTCTGCTCATTTAGCTCAGTTTTTTTTTTTTTTTTTTTTTTTTTTACAGTACAATGTCTGTAATCTGGACATCCATAATCCAGAATGATCTATAATCTGGACCTCAAAGCTAAAAACTTTATTTACACATGCGCGTTTAATGTATAACGGACAGTATAAGCTAGACTAAAATTATCTAAGGCATTTCATTTAATGTTGCAGATTGCTCTGTTCCTTAATCTTCTAATTGGATCTGGCTTATTATTTGTTGCAGACTGTTAGAACAATTTTATAAAAATTAAGCATGAACTTTCGATTATGTCAAAAAGAGTTTCCAATTCTGGAGCTGCCAAAGGATCTATAAAGCGAAAGCATGTTTCGATGCCCATTAAATAAAAAGTGGAATTGCTGCAAAAAATGGATAAAGGCCTATCTGTCTCAAAATTATGCGTTCTCAAAGAGTATGACATTGGAAAGTCAACTGTATATAACATAAGCAAAAGAAAAAGGAACTTTTTGAATTTTTTGTGGAAACATCTTAAACAACTTACATTGAAAGAAATGTTTAATAAAGTAAACAAATAAATATTATTAAATTAAGCTTTTCTTGTAAATTTTGCATAAATTATGATTTCATATTTTTAATTGTATAATTTTGGAATGCCATCTTACCAGATTTAAATTAATGATCTATAATCCGGTAAAACCCCTAATCCGGAATCGCCGAAGTCCCGACGAGTCCAGATTACGGACTTTGTACTGTACACAGTAAATCTATAGAAAAAGCAGTATTTAAAGTACCTACTGCTTATTTAATTCCATTCCAAACATACTCGAGTTTATTACGCAGTTGAGTTTAATAGATGGCAAATCATAATATCAGTTTTAAACTTTGCTAATAAAATAATTATTGTTTAATCCTAAAATAATAATTCAAAGTAAAAGCTAAAATTAAAACTTTTTATGTAATTTTTATATTGATTTTTCAATTTTTAGAAATACTTTTTTTAATTATGTTTTTGATGAGATTCTCTTACAAACAAGTATTGTATCTGTTTGTTGGATGCATATTTAATATTTGCATTTCTTTTTTTCTTTGTATATTTTATTTCCTCACTGCTTAATTTTATGTTATGATTTTTGCAATAATCTTGTTACTGGCAACGTGCTTTATTTACTATTAAGTTTGTGTGAGTGGCACAGTTGTTCATGTTTATGTTTCATAGAATAGCGTTCTTAGCCGCACTGCGCTGCAGGCAATTTTTCTCTTAAATATTTCATCTTTTAGATAACAATCAAGTTTATTATACAAAGCTGATGCTTTTTAGTTCAAGGCAACTATTGGTTCCCCAGGTGAGGCATTTAATACTTTTAATGTGTTATTATTAATGCTTTAGACTGTGTTTAACGAACTTTTAAGTACTGGTACTGCGAATCGTCGCGTGACGTCAGAAAGATAAGCGGAAATATTTTTTGCTGCTTAAGTATCTTGTTGAAGTTAGTTGTGCTTATTAATCATTATTCATGGTAATAATGACAGAATTAAGTGAATCTGATCTTAAAAGATTAAGAGGACGAACGAATCTACCCTAACGCGGCTTCACAAGAGTTCATAATCAGTTAAGTTTAACGGAATTAAAAGCACGATTAGAAAGAATTGAACAAATATTTAAGGACTTAGATCAATATGATGCTGCTTTACCCGAAGAAGCATCTGAAATTGCTGAATTCGAAGCTAAATATTTTGAAACGAAAGTAATGTATAAATCCGCCATTGAATCCGTAACGGCCAGAAATGTTTTGATTTCAAATCGCACTGTAGTTAAGGCTTGCTTTAAACTTCCGCGTTTAAACATTCCTAGTTTCAATGGTAAATACTGATTGGCTTAATTTTAAAGATTTGTACGTGGCGACAGTTCATACCAATCAGTCATTAGCGAAAATTCAGAAATTCCAATATTTGATAGGACTTTTAACAGACGAACCAGCTGCTATTATTAAGCACATTCTGATTCCGAAACTACATACGATGAGGCTTGGGACAAACTGATGAATCGTTATGATAGAAAAAAATCAATTGTAAGTTGCTTGTCAGAACATTTCTTGAGCAACCCAAAATTACTAGCGCTGATTCTGTTAATCTAAGAAAACTATCTGATACATCTGATGAAGTTATCCTGGATTAAAAATCTCTTGACAAAAAGGCTTCGTCTAGAGATGTTTGCTAATTTATTTTTTTTTAGAAAAGTCGATCCGGAAACGCGCCATTATGGTCACAAAAAAATGTTGAAGAAGCATTTCCTACCTTAGAATTTTTTTGGAATTCTTAAACTCAAGGTGTGTTTCACTTGAAATGTTAAACACTCATAATAATGAAAAGCGAGTATCGCATAAAAATCAGTGCTTCTGTTTCGAAGAATGTTTCACATAATAATAAAATTCTGTTCTAAAATGTCAGCATTGCAATGGTTGGTCATTTTTTATCAAAGTGTTATAATTTAAGGTGCAGATATTACGACTAGGAAAAATATCATTCGCAAGAATTTATTATCCTCATTGTTTCGGAAATCATCAATTAAAATTTGTTCATCGCAGAATGTGTGTTCTATTTGCAAAGCAAAACACCATACTTTACTGCATGAAGATATTAAAAGTAATAACGTAGTTGTGTCAAATTCATCTCCATCTGATGAACAAATTTCTAATTCAGACGAACAAAATAATATTTCAAGTTTTTCTATTCAGGTCATTTTTACCAACGGCGGCAGTAATAATTTACGATTCTTCTGCTGGTCAAGGTCATGAATGTATCATTCTTTTTGTCAGTGGAGAAGCTTCTTTTATCTGTGAATCATTTATTCGACTATTAAATATACGCAGGCAAAATGCTCGTATTTGCGTAAAGGGACTTAATGATTCTGAA